GTCACCGCGGGGGGCGGGCTCGCTAGGCGCATCCCCGCCGGTTCTTCCGAAGCTCTGCCCCTCTTTTCCGGGTTCTCCAGATGGCTCGCGTTTCTTTCGGCGCCATTTTCTATCAGCGGCATCATGCGGCCGGCACTATTGATAAGCGTCACTCTGGAGTTCTCTGCTGTCCACTCCAGCGACTCCTTGCCCGCCGTATGCAGTTGAACCTCTAAATTTGCATATTCCCTTAGTAGATCCGCTACTGAACAGAACAACACATTCATCGTTTTTCCCTTTTTCCACTTGATGAAACCCCATCTGGTCGCGTGACGGCCCTTGGTCGCCAGATCCTCCCAGAGCTGAACGAGAAGCTCATGACCCCGCGACCCAGGCACCAAATCCGGACAGTTGAACCAGTCCGTTGGGGTGGGTTCCCCTCCTTCCCTCAGGTATCGGGTTCCACTCTTTTATGACCGCTGCTTCTTTCTTTACGGAGAAGTAGCCGTCAATATTTTGTTCATCCCCTTCTACCGCCTGGTGGTAGGCAATATGCGCCCATAGATCGTTTGCATTTTCCACGCGGCGGATCCTGGTGCACCAAGGGCAGCACCCAATTAGGTTCGTCTCCTTCACCGTGCCCTTAAATCCCATCCTCGTCGCCATGTCTCAGATGGCTGGAGCCGACTTGAGGTGATCTAGAAATTGCTCGGTTATTGGGCGGGCTGGTGAATGGAGAGGCAGACAAAACGTATTGGTTGCAAAAAAGCTTTACTTACGCCACTAGTAGCCATGATGCAGGTGGTCCGATCGCTTAAATAATTACACGAGTTGCTCCAGCTGGCAAGACTCAGGCCAGCGAATCCGTAAACGAACTAGGCATGCAGGAAAAAGGGTACGTCGAGGGACGGCGCTCGGCGACAGGGAGAAAAATCGATAGTTGATCAGGCTATCGATTAGCTCAGCCACGAGTCAGGAATCTTCAAAGTCACTCTGCAGCATGCTCAAAGTTCTCCGACTTGGGCGGAAGTCGCACAGAATTTTATACGGCCAGCAAGCCAATTGCTAGCCACCACGTAGGAATAATTTAGAACTGGCCAATAGTGGGACACAAATTTGCATACGAATGGCGGGAACTCTCTTGCACCAGAGTTTTCTATTGTAACAGAAAACTTGCTGTGCACAGAGACTCTCATGTGGCGGGAAAATTCCACCGTGCCGAGGCACTAAAATCATTGGGTTGTGACAGTTACCAGCAATAGTTGCTCAATATCAGCCCAGGGTGGCCAACCCGGGCTTATTGAGTAGATGATGATGATTTGAAGATAGCCGATTTAAAGATAACAGCTGGAGTGGGGTGAACAGATGCATCTGTGCTCCAGTGAAACAGCAGTAGAGCAAGACAATCACCCAATTTGGCATTTTCGAAGTGTTCTTTTATAGGGATTGGCATCCTTTGTTTCAGTGCTTTGGGGTTTTTCCATACTCAGCTTCTGTTTTTGTGGTTGTTCTTCTTTTGTTTTCAGCTTATCTTAGCCTTGGAGTGTTTTTGTTGCCCATCTGGCAGAATTTCTTCTGTTATCTCCTTTGTGCCTTCGAGCTTCAAAAGGATTCTTTGGCCATTTGTTAGTTAGTTATTGGTTGGTAACTTACATTTGGTGCCTTGTTGCTTACATAAACAGTTGAATCTTCTTCCATCTCTATGCCATTCTCTCTCCATTCACTCTTTTACACACATTCATACATAAAGGCTATGCAAAGTCCATTCACTTATGTCAAGCAGAAGGATACATAATGGAGTTTTCAAGTTGCTTACAGGACAAGACTAACATGGTTACATTTCACTGTTATTACACTCTATGTTAACATCAGCTACATTCGTTCAGTTCATGCTACAAAAGGTGCTATTCCGTGCACCAGCCTGTGCACTGTGTCTCTGGCCACGTGCCAGAGGTTGCAGATCTGAGCTGCCTCACACACCTCCCAGGGTCTGGACGCCGTGTGCCGTGCTGTACACCAAGAGCCTAGCTGCTGGAGCCGTCCGCTGTTCCCCACTGATGGAAGTCTTCAGGGCACTTCTGAGCTACTGCTTCGCCCTGCTGAGCAGCTCTCTGCAGCTCTTCTAAGCCCCGCTCTTCTCTCTCTCGTGGACGTGCTTCCCTTATGCTGGGCATGCAGCTCCTTTTACATGCTCCAGGGCTTCGCCCCTGAAGTATTCCGGACCTCAGTGTTGCAGTCTTCAATCAGGTCCACGGTGGGGAGGGGGAGGGAGAACTCCTCTCCCCCTCCCCTCAGGAAGGGGGCATGACTGAACTCCTTTTGCTGCCTCCTAATTGGGGGATGAGCTCCAGCAATCAAAACAGCAAGATTTCAAGCCTGGGACTCAACCCAAGCTCCGAAAGGCAAGCCTGCTACACTTACTTTATAGAACTCCATGATTATTAACTAATTCTCATGTGCTACCTTATGTTCTCCCTTTTTATGCACATTAATCTTGCTCCCCATGTTTCATAAAAAAATTGGAACCAGCTTATATGATATATAGATATAGGGCTGATTATGCCTTTGAAGTTGAACATTTTGCCACTGTTTTAAAAATGTATGCAGGATTATGCCTTATAATTGTATTGCATGAAACATAGATGTTTTGTTTTTAACAGTAGTTCACAAGCTATGATCAATCCCACGACATATCAGTTATGTAAAGAAGTTTCGTGGGTGGCTTGTGGAGAGTTGGCTCATCACAAGGTGCTGGCTTTCTTGCTGGAATCTAGCAGCTGAAATCACATATTAAAAGAAACTTAAATATATTGGATACATTCCTAATAAGAGTTTTCAGTGAGAGTAACTGCTTTTGTTACTCCAGGGCTGGTGTTCTTAAAGTGGAGGTTGTTTGCACTATAGTTGGATGAAAAAGATTTATGAGGTCTTAAAATACAAAAAAGGTAGCGAGCTCCAGCTTTATTCAAAACAAAAGCATTGGATGGTCTTATAAGGCAGCACAAATGTGTTGTGATATTACAATGTTCATACTGTTCTAATAGAAGCGTATCCAGGTTCATGCAAGGTGGGGTGTGGGAGGAGCACCTAGCATTGCAGGGGTGGCTACACCCCCTGCTCCCAGCCTCCTAGACTCTCTCCCCTTCCCCCCACTCCCCTCCCCTGGGATGGGCAGACTATATGACAGGAGCATCAATCAGGGCCTTATTTATGTTCCCAAAGCAGGTGAGAATTTTCTCCACTCCCCTCCCTGCTCAGAGGCACATCTCCTCTGCTCTCCTTTTCCTTTTCCCTACCTCCCACTTCCCCTGTCCCCATTATTCTGAGATGAAGAGGAGATCCAGAGTCACTTCTATCTAGCTCCAGCCAGGTTTCATGAGGGCTGCACTCAGTCTGGGACAGTGGCAGTGAGCAGGCAGGTTCCCCCTCCTCGCATCTCTCCCTGGGCTGGCAGGGGGAACCTGCCAATCCACTGTCACCAAGGGGAACCAAGCAGGGAAAGGGAACCCACCTGCCCTCTGCTGCTGCCTCTGTCTCAGGCTGAGTCCATATAGCCCTGCTGGAGTGGGACAGGAGCTCCCCTGGGACAGGAGGGATGGTGTTAGCAGCAGGAAAGGAAGAGGGAAAGGTGAAGGGAAGGGAGAAATTCTTATCTTCTTCAGGAACTTAAAGTCCCAGCTGCTGCTCCTGCCGCAGAAAGTGGCGTACAACTGCAATACTGCACCCTGTCTGGATCCACCCCTGTGTACTGACAGACAAAGGGTATAGATTAGGTGTGCTAGCTCACTACTAAGCTGTAATCTCCTAATTTTGTGCTTATTCACTTTTGTTCCCAATATAAATTATAGTTTTAATATTTGGTTTTATGAAACTAAAAATCTGACAACCAAAGTTCCAGCAATGGAGACTGCAGTGCCATGTCAGATGCTTTCCGGTGCTGGCGCTGGGTATTATAACTTTACTGAACTTCTTCTGTAAAGGACACCTTCCTAATGACTCATCAAGAAGATTCTTTCCTACATATATGCATACACACACTCTCTAAAGTCAGGGTCATTCAGGATGAACACGTTAAAAGAGTAAATAAGTTGTGATGTTTGAGGAGAGCTTGATTGGAAGTTTGTCTTTGGAAGGAGATCTATTCTGTTTGGTCCTGTCCAAATGTTGCATCAAAGGTTTGAAAATAGTGAGAGCTGATGCCATGACTTCCAGTATGCAGGCATGAAACAGGATGCTGACCAGCATAAAGATAGGTCTGTTGTAGTAGACATTATTCCCAGTAGCTCTAAAATAAGACCACGCAGTCCTTAACTTCTGGCCTGGTTAATTCAGCAGTAAGCGTTATCAGCTTGAGAAATAAAATGTTCTTCCAATTAACTTGTTCCATGTAATGCAGGAGAGAAAATAGTTACTATGAAAAAAAATGGTTTGGGTTGGAATCTGAAGGAAAAGAGAGATAATAAGAAAATAGTCTAGGAATAGAGAAGGCAGCACATGAGAGAGAGAGAGAGTAGCTTGTGCTTTAATATCTTGCTGAATTGGGGCCTTGGAAACTTAGAACTGAAGATGAATTTTTTGTCTGCTTATTAGATTCTTAAAATCTTACAGAATATAATAATGGCATATAAAATTGCTTTGCTAGCTTGTCTTATTCTATTTTACTTTTATTCAAAAGCTTCAGCAGCAGCAGCATTAAAGTGCCGCATTAGTTTTCTTATTCAGATTTGAAAAATAGGCATTTTGCAGTTTTTCATTTTATCATCACAAATCATTAACATTTGGTTTTATGTTTACCTACAGTGGAAAATAAATGTGCCACCTCAAATGCAGGAACATGTACAAAGTGCCTTGCTGTAGGTCCAGAGTGTGGATGGTGTACTCAAGAGGTATGTTGTCTTGCAGCTATATTTATCCATTTTACCTGGTTCTCATACTTGTGTGCACAAATATATAATTTGAACCTACTTCCAAATTATGGGAAAGAAAAGGTATTGAGAAGTAACAGAGGAAAAAAATCTGTGTAGACTTATTCTTGGAGATGGCACTTGAGAAATCGTGCAGTAGATATTCAGTCTCCAAAGAGAGAAAATGTAACTTTTTTATTTGCAAAATTACAGTATTTTTTTAAATATAAAGTGTGAAACTTTTCATGTTTTCCATCTGCTTTGTAGACTACATTGGCAGGCAAATGGTAACTTTTGGGAGTTCAAAAATTTGTTATTCACAAGTTATTTATCCATAATTTGTAAGAACTGTTATCACTAAGTCGAAAACAAATCTATATAGTTATCTTACATTTCAACAGGTAGTTTTATTGGTAATTTTGGAAATTCCTGACGTTCATTTTGATTTCACTGTACATCATTACCTTTGTCACGTGGAAAAATTTATGCTTTTCTATTCTTGACATATGAAACCTTCCGTTTTGAGACTTATCGTGAAAGAATTTACAATCTCTGGTAGATTATTCTGAAATCATTTATTCTGAAATCATTATTGTTTTGGTAATAGTGAGATTTCAGGGGGAGGGAGGATTGAGTTGGCAAAAGACCAGTATTACAACTAGATATGTCTTATTATGAGTAGTCTTGACATATAAAAGTAGGAGGGGCATGTTTAGGATCTGGGTTTTTGCCAGATTGCAAAACTGGTAATTAGGCGTGTACCCACACTTAAACGGTATCTGTAAGCTGTTGAAAATTCAGTGAAAAGCTCATGAAAAAGACAGAAATGATCCTAATGGGTAAGGAATAGAGATAGGAACACATTAATGCCAGTAGGTAAGATACTGGTGAGACCTCTCTGGAATATGGCATACAAAACTAGTCATCTATTTTTAAAGAAGAAGAATTCTTACTGCACCATGTCCAGAGGTAGTTTTTTGGGGATGATCAATGAATAGAGTACCTAGTTTACAAGAGGGGGTAAATACCAGGGAAGATGAAGAAGCAATCTGGGCTCATGGTAGAGGTAATATCTTTTATTAGACCAACAAGATTTTTGCAAAAAAAATCTTGAATTGCAAGCTTTTGGGCACAAACACCCTTTATCAGGCATTGGAGAAAAGATTGTAAATGTTTTCCTGGATAGAAATGAAAGTTCATATTTCATAGGATTTCACAGAGGAGTCAACAGATGGACAATTCCTTTGGGCAGGCAGGTCTTAGCTGTTAAAGAGTCTCTCACCTCTCTTGTGCAAATTAGCTTGAACAAAGACAGGAACAATATCTCAGGTTTCTGGTGGTCGAAGTTGCTTCCTCCTTGGGAAAATATGAGGATTGTATTTTTAAAAAATCAGTTAAAATTCTACATCTTCCATGTGTCAGGTATCCAGGTTATAGCCGTATTGGTCTAGAGGAAAAAGCAATCTGGGCTCATGGTAGAGGGAAGATGAAGAACTATTTAATTTAAAGGCTAATGTTGTCACAAGAACAGCTAGGTATAAACTGAGCATGAATACATTTTAAGCTTGAATTCAGAAACATTCCTAATTATCAGCAGAATGAGGTTTTGGAACAGTAGCTGCCTATACATGTGCTAATTAGCTTTCTAATTAGAATGCTGAAGCATCGCCACAGTGTCGCATTGTATTAAGCCCCTCGCATTAAAATGGGTGTGGGGCACTTTAACTAAACCTCATCAAATGAGGTTTAGATAAAGCATCCTGTGGCCATTTTTAAATGTGTGGAGCTTAATACATGTAACAGTGAAGCATTTTAATAAGAGCAGCTTCACGGGAACTTCTCTCATTAAAACATCCCCACCTCTGAGCATGTCCATAGGCAGCCTAGATCTTACCCTCCTCCTATAGAACTAATGGAACCAAACAGCCACCTGCTTTTCAGATGGAACTTGATTCTGTATGGGATTATATGATATGGTAAATTAACTACAAATTTCAAATTAATGTGTGTAAGATAAGATGTGTAAAACCTTTGTTTGGGTGCTCTTATGAAGAGCTAACATGATGTGTGATTTTGGGGATGGGAAATAAAATCGGTCAGATCCATATCATGCAGCTGCTCACATATGGGGAGCCTGGCATCATGATCTGGTTACTGTCGAGTTCCCTACATGCCAGGAAGTTGAAAGCTGCACAAGCAAGTCTAGCTCATCAGCTGATGAGGTCCCTGTGCGCTGACACCTGGTTGTTAAATCACCCATTAAGACTAAATATTTCTTATGGAACATCTTTGTGGCTAGCTTACATTGTACTTGGATTTGAACATGTGACATGTTTGGCACTTTCTCCTGCCGTAACTTGGCTGAACATGTGGCATATAATAATTTATAGCATAGTTAACATGTTAATTGTGCGATTAAATGTAACTTCTTCTGTGGTCCTTAGGTTCACTGGCACCAACTTTTAGCTGATTCACCTTATCTTGCCTGAGTGCCTCCATATGGATATTAGGGCTGTGCGAAGCTTCAGTCCCTGATCCGATTCGGCAGAGATTCAGCCCAATTTGGTGGCCAAATCTCTGAATCTGAATCAAATCAGAGGACCCTTTAATCTCTCCAAATTAAATCGGAACCCTCTGAATCAATTTGGAGAGATCCGGAAAACTTCAAACATTCAGAGAGATGGCTTTAAATGTTTTTTTTCTACATAACTCTAGGTAGCAGGGGCTCATGAGTGCTAAGATGCTAGGGTGCGTGGAGTGTCCCGTAGAAGCATGGGGGGCTCCCCAAGCATGTTCAGCAGCAGACCCAGAAGTGGACCAGAAGCACTTCCAGTCCATTTCCAGGTCTGCCAGGGAGTGCACAGGGGGGCCCCCCTGCGCCCCTCCAGCTTGGTGACTGGTGCCTCCTGGGCCTGGGGGGGCACCCAGGGTCCCCCTGTGGCCGATCGCCGAGCTGAGGAGGCATGAGGGGGGCCCCCCAGTGTGCTCCCTGGCAGACCCAGAAGTGGAATGGAAGTACTTCTGAGTTTGCCACCAAGCACGTGGAGGGCCCCCCTGCACTCCTGTGGGATGCTCCATGAGCCCCAGTATCGAAGTGATCGTAAGCCACGCCTGCTACCTCAAGGTGTGTAAAAAAAAAAAAAAAAAAAAAAAAAATGTTTAAAGCTGTGTCTGTCTGAATTACTGATTCTCTGAATCAGCATTGAATCTTCAGATTTGGCTGAATTGAATCAGGGACAGTGATCTGAATGAATGAATGGAATCACTGTCCCTGATTTGGGCTGAATTCAAAGCTGAATCGAATAGGGCCCGCTTCGCACATCCCTAGTGAACATGGCCAGGAATGTTATCCTAGCACTTTGCTTTGATTCTCTTTTTGGGCTCAGCCTAGTTCTTATTGTAGTCAGCATGTGTGTTGTGTTGTTTTCTTCCTCTGTAGATCGCTCTAGCATGATTTTAGAGGCTGGGTAGAGGGTCAGTTTAAAATACTAAATTATTACTTTAAATCTTTGCTTATTTTTTACAGTGTTGTATTATAAATTTCACTTTGAAACTGGACACTTTATCTTAAGTCCATATGTCTTAGGAAGAAAAATCAATATAATCACATCAGCAGTTGTACATTTTAAATCCTAACTTAGATCTGTTGTATTATTTCTTCTCTTTCTGTTTATGCTCCAACTCAAACTTATACATGTGTACGGTTTATACCCAAGCGCTCACAAAATAATTTACCAAAAGTCACACCATGGAAAGTTCATAAACTATTCCCTTTTACTATGTTTTTAATCTTAGTGCTGTATCATAATTTTATGTGGTTGATCATCTGAATGTCATAGTATTTTTCAAAACAAGGAGAAAAAATGATTGTTTTTGGTTCTTTTGCTTAGGATGATTCAGATAGTAACTAGCAAATAATGAACAGCATACTTCCAGATACATTTTCTAAATTAATCTTCTTTTTATGTCTGTTTAATCTTTGTTAAATTTTCTGGATATGCCAGGACTCCAAAAATACGTAGTGGTCATTCCAGATGCAGAAATGGAAAAAAATAAACTATGTAACATCTTGCAACATTTATTTGTATGTGCAGACATAGACATATGCTCTATCCATCTAATCATCATTACTAAAAAGAAGTAAGAATGCCATCAAAATTAAGAGCAAAATGTTCTTCTCCCCGTAATGAGCCTCCCAAGCTCACTGTTAGAGAATTTTTTTAGGCACATTTTTATAATTTTTTCTTTCCTTTTTCTATTAAATACCCCTCATGTTTTTATTTAACTGTATGTGCTACTGTTAGAGAGATTTTATCAGTGTCAGCTAACCCATGTTTAGTTTCTTTGCTAATTTAAATTAAGAAGGTTGATTCCATTTTGTTTCAGAGTAAAAGAAAATCTCATAATTTCATTTATCGTCATAAAAATGCTTACTTTGTTAAGATAACCAATTCAGAATAATCTGTGACATCAGAATTTCATGGATTAAAGTTGAATGAAGGGTTATCCTTCTCTGTGATTAGGCTCATCTAAAATGAAAGTCTTCTCTTAGTTGGTAGGAAACAATAACAAAACCCCTTCAAACTCTGTGTTCAAGCTCTGTTTTAAGAGGGCTCTTTTGCATGAGCTGTCATGTGCTGCCATCCCTATCTCTATGACAATTTAAAAGACTTCATGTGCTATGCACAACCAACCACAAAGCAAATAGGGTACTAGTCTAAGTGTCTTTTTCATACTTCAAATGGGGGGAAATGGAGAGATCAAGAAGTCATTAGTTTAAATCCAGAATGACCAGCATTTTATCTGATCTGACATAAGCCCATAGAATTTCACCCAGTTAACTTTATATTGAGCTGAAGCCTTTTGGGTATGAGGTAGAGCAGTGGGGTTAAATTTTAATGGCCTGTGATCTATAGGAAGACAGACTTAAGTTAGACTTTAATTGGAAATTGGAATATTTCTGACTATCAGAGGAGGTTCTG